CAGATCAACGTGGATAATGGCTGGAAAAGGCTAGATCGGCGCACTACCGGCCAGATTCAGCCGGTAGTGCGCCATCCCACCAGATTCTGGCCATTTTCCGGTGGTGGTGGCCGGAATCTGGTAAATGTGGATTATTGGGGTGTTTTTGTAATTTTAAAAAAAATATTTAGGGGTATTTAATTAAATTATCAAATTTAAGGGGTTTAAAAAAAGTTGAATAATATTGGGAGTAGTATTCCAAAATTTCTGAGTTTTTGGGTATTTTACTGTTTAACTTTTTTGGGAATACTAAAAGTAGTATTTCCAAAACTGAAACAAACGCAGCCGGTAATGTTGGGAGTAATATTATTACCTGTTAAGAGGTATTATTAAAATATTATTGAGGTAATATGATTTTTCTACCTATTTTACCCTTAATTAAAAACCATTTCAGACACAATTGCCCTCAAATATCTACCAAATAATAATTACCCAGCCCCCCTACATTTGAGAAATTAGCTAAAACACCTAAACCACAAAAAAGTTAACAAAATACCCCAGCCACCCAAGACCACCGCTGGCCGTGACTCACCATCGCCAGCTGCTGGCGTCAATCACTGTAATGGTGCACGACCGACAGGATCTGGCCAGTCATGCTCCAGTAAGGCCTTTTACGGTGATCCATGGCCGAAAACGGCCAGATCTGGCGTTTCTATGGCTGTTTCACGACCAAACATGTGGCCGTGAAATTGCCATAGATCTGACTATTTTTCGACCATGGATTTATGATCCATGGCCATTTTCGGCTTTGCTGACACATGATTGACTGTATACAACCAGTTGTACACCATTCCGTCAACTGCTGGAGACGGCTGGCGGTGGTGGTTGGCTGTCGGTAGTGCCTTGGGGTGGGTGAGGGTGATTTTTTTTTTTTTAAAATAAATTAAAGTTTCATATGGTTGGGGTGTTTTAGCAAAATTTCAAATGTAGGGAGTTAAAAAAAAATGATTCAAAAAAAATAATAAAAAATACTATTATATTAATATTTAAAAGGAGGGCAATTATATACCCACTCATTTATCCTCCCAACCGAACATATTATTCACTAATTTATTCGAACTAACCAAATACATTTTCTAAACATTCCTACTAATCTTCAAGATGATCTTTCTTTCCGTTAATATAACATACCCTTATAATAAAACATTATATGATCTAAACGCTCCCAAAAGGGTATTTTTTTCCTCTAAATCTTTTATATCTGTTAGTGTATGCCCTAAGAACCAATTGTGTTGTCGGTTTCAGGACATTATACCTTGTAAATGTATTATGAATAAAAGAAAGTGTTCTTATTTCACATGTTGATTTTCTGCTTCATTTATATTATATTATATTTAATATTGCATGTGAAATGTCTGGATGACACGAATCTTCAGAAGATCAAATCATCAAAGAATTCCCTATGCAAGTAATGTTAATTGGACAATAACATTGCATAGTAGGCATGCTGAATGTCTCCATCGAATATCATGTGATGGTATTAGTGTGGGTGATTATAAAAGGTATGTCACTAAGGCATTAGCACGGATAAACGGTTAGTGAACTGTTTATCGAATATGACCGATTACGATAAATCACATGGATATGGTCAATGATGCATCGTAGGATCGTACTAGTGTACCACTGATTCTTAGACCTGAGACATCACGGTTGGATTCAACATAGGATGCATATGGTTCATATGGTGTATAAGCACGAGACTAGTCATGTCTTGTGTAATAAGCCGGTTTGGTCATATGTTATTCATATGCGAGGACAAGTGATGGTCAAGATGAGATCCATTAACTCAAAATAGTCCAACCTTGAGTTCCCAAACAAATGTCAATAAACATTGAAAAAGGGAAATCGCTGGCCAGAGTATAATGAATGTCAAATGAAAAGTAGTTTCATGTTAACGAGTTCCATTGTATCGATTGACAATTCGATTAAAGATTAAGTTAAAGGTTTTGACATACCATGAACCATTCTTAATCATGATTAGATAACAGAAGGATTTGACTACAAGGTACATACGATCATAATAGGTTCATTGGAGTTTACATTTCATTGTGGTTTAGGAGTTATGGAACATTGCTAGACGTTTACCATAATCAGTGGGAGTTTCGATTATAAAGAATTATAATGAAACATATCAAAATCAGATATTGGGCCCACGGCTAAATCACAGTAAACCAAAATGGTCACACATAAAACCAAACTCAAGGAGAGAGAGTAATACATATCATTAATCAGATTAATGATGTTCGTACGTAAACGGTTGCGTCCGAATTAATGTATTGATGAGAAATGATTATCCATGAATAGCTAGCACTAACCAAGGATAATAAGGATTTATTAAATATTATTATTGAATTGGATTCAATGATAGGGGCAAAAGTGTATTGGTTTTATTCTAAAGGGTTAGAATATTTAATGGAATTAAAATTTGGTCTAATTATGAATTAACCATAAAACCAAGGACTTGAGATAAATGTTTATTCTCAAGTTAATTTAAATTGTTTGAGGCCTTCCCAAAACAATTTAAAATTACACTTTGTGCCCATGGTGTATAAATTAAGTTTTATACAATTTTAATTCAATTGAATCAATTAAAAGCAAAATCACTCTCTCATTTTCTCTCTCACTCTCTCAGCTCTTTCTTCCTTGACTTGTATGGATCACATTTTGAGGTTATGCAAGTTCATTTGAAGAACTAAGATTCTAAGAAAGAAGATTCAAGTGTTGAATAGCAAAGGAGTATGTAATGTTTTATTCTTACCTTGAAATTTTTTAGGCTTATGTATTATGTTTAAGTTCTACCTTGCATCTATCATCTTGTTCATTCATGTTACACTATTTCTATGTCCAAAATGCATGAATTTGAACAATATCAAAATGACGTGATACTTTTTTAGATAGGATTGGTATCAATTTCATTCTTCACCTTAAAATAACATACATATGTGACGTTTCAAAGATTATATTTTGTATTTTTTGTGTTAATTCTAGATCTTTTTATTTTTATGATTTAAAGAAACTTTATTTTTCCTTAGATTTAAGCTTTATCTTCTCTTCTTAATTACTCTATATAAATTTACAAAATCGTGATGACATATGTGCTTAAACAATAAACCTTTTTTTTTTTTTTTTTAATTTTAAATATTAAAAACAAAAATAAGATAAAACCGATATTTTTTTAATTAAAAATCAAGTGGTCTATCTCTAAAAAGGAAAATTCTAGAGATCAAATGATAAAATAATGTCCTAACTAAATATATAAGACAAAGTCGAGTGATAACTGTAAGAAGCCAAAAACCAGGCCTTAATTTCGGGAGTTAAAAGAACCATTTAACACATGCGACAGTCAAAACCAACAGATTTACCCATTATCCAAGCCGCTTTCCTTGAATTCTCTCCAAACTTTTGCTCTCTTCTTACACCATAACATCATAAACTTTTGCAAATTAAATTATTTCATAATTTCACTTCAAATCATTTTTCTTTCTCGATCGATCTTCGTTGAATTTTTTTTTTTTTTTTCCTTCGCATCAAAGGAATATGTATAGATCGGTAAGCTTTACCCGAGTTGCCAATGACTACTTCATGCACACATCACCAAAGCCGGTTCCGGGAATGAGAACGGCGTCGTCGCCGATGGAAGTGGATGAGCAGGCTGCGTATGATCCCGTTGAGGAGATGGCTAAGAAGGAGAAGTCACGTATCAAGTTTGCTGAGAATGCTGTACATGCCATTCCATTTGTTCTACTTCTTTGTGCTTTAGTTCTATGGTTCTTATCTAATCCAAGTAAGGCTTACCATTCATCATACATCCACTAATTAATAAAAATTAAATTGATTTGAGTGAATTAGTTTTAAATATATTTGCAGTTGTAAATGTGGGAGTAAATAAAGCAGATGCAGTGGCAGCAAGAATTGAAGGATTGACGATCGAAGGAGACATCGATACAGATAGTGTAGACGGTACTCAAACGAGCATTTTACCTGTGGAATTGGGGGATATGGACAAACCAGCACCCAAATTACCAAAGAAAGCTTTGAGGGGAAATCTGTGAATGTATATACATAGATCATTCAAGTGATCGTATATCAAATTAAGTTTGGGACGTTTATATATGATCAAATTTTGAAGATATAATTAGCTCTTAATTGCATGCCCTCCTTTTGTGGAATTTTGTTTTTGAACCCAGTTTGCCATATTAGATGCAAGTCGTATTTCCTCGAAAGAGAGTTTGAAGATCCATATCAGAGGTAGACGTGAAGGTTTGAATAGCATGTTTTTGCCATTTGCATTAGTTTATGTACTCATATTCCCTTAATTCAGTTTTAATAATTAGTTTAGGAATGGAATAACGACTCTATATATATATATACAATGGGTAAAATTAATATGACTCTTCTTTTGTGTATGGGTTAATTTCATTTACCTTATCATACAATTGATCTAACAATTTTTATAAAGAATGAAAAACACCATATATAAAGGTTTTTAATATTTTTACAAGTTTATTATATTTTTAAGGGCTTTTATAATTATTTTGTTGACAAATATTAATTATTCAAAAAATAACAATTTTTATCAATAATTAATAATTTCTAGTATAATATTACACAAACGGCTTTTTTTTAAAGAAAAAAAGTAATGCCATTTATTTCAATATATTGTCTTATTAGCTTCTATTATGAATTTAATGTAATTAAAGACGTATAAACATCTTTTCGAAGATGATAGTGTCAAATCAATATGTTTAGGTTGGAAGGATTTAAAAAAAAAAAAAAAAAAAAGTCATCTAAATCGAAAGCCCAGTGATGGAGATGATGGTCTTCACTATCCCTATATTCCATCCACGTAAACTGAAAATGGGTATTCAACAGCACTAGTAATCGTCAATACTTTGGTATAATAATGGGAATATTAAACGTCACTTAAAACTATCATATTTAGCTTCTGCTCCACACCGTTTCAATCAAAATTCAACCCTCTTCTTTCTCACGATTCTTCCACTTTCACCTCTCCACCTTACTTAGATATACTAAAGTAAAAGCACTCTGCATCTCCAATATCAAATATGGTCAAAGCGTTCATGAACTTGGCTTGGCGGACCTGAGGTTTGTAGTCTGTTCCTTATTTCCTGATCAATTTGTTGTATTATTGATTCCAATTTATGGTTGTTTTATTATATTATACTACCGTTGAATATGAAATTTTTATAAATTTACCTTGTGCAAGTTATTGAGTATGGCATAGCCCTTGTTATTTTCTTCTCTGTAGACTGTAAGTGATGTGCAAGTTAGTGCAAGATGCTATGTGATTAATAACCGCTAGAAGATTATGACAATTCTTAAAGTATCATTTTTGTTATGTGATCTTTTTGGTCTAACCTACTGCCACATTCAGTTGGCTTTATGTTCTTCAAGCAAGTAGCAAGCAAACTCCTTTGGTATTAGAAGTTACTTTCTGTATTTGATTCTAAGTTAATCTAGGTTGCTGTGTTTTTTATGATGTTAGATTAAGTATACCTGCTTGGTGAGCCAGGGTGCTAGGCATTTGCTCATGCAGTATCGTGAATAAATCAGCTGCAAGGCTGTAGGTATGGAGGCTGTTGGAGAGGTAATTGCTCTGGGCCCTGGGCTTACTGTAAGGCAGGGAAGTTGGAGATATCGTGGCTTATGCTGGCAATCCAATGGGTTCATATTCTGAAGAGCAGAGCCTTCCTGCAAACAAAGTGTTTCTTGTTCCTTCTTCTATCTCACCAGTTATTGCAGCTTCTGTCATACTTAAGGGAATGACAGCTCAGTTTCTACTTCGCCGTTGCTTCAAGGTAGGTATCATGTGCATGAGCATTTGCTCTTCCAAGTTCCATTACCAGGGTATGAAATAGTTCTTGGCCAGAAAACTTATGGTACGAAAAACTCATGTTGGTTGCTATTTTTTAAGAATTCCTGCTTGTATCAAGAGGATTGATATTTGGCATTTTATCAATGATTGTACATGTCAAAGTTGTTGTCATAAATGTGTGCAGAATGAGCCACATAGAAAAGAGAGCAATAAAAAATGATTTTCTGGAGGAAAACAATTGATTTATTAATTGTAAGCTAATATAACTATATTAGGAAAAACATACTTTTAAGTAGGTTATCCTTGAATTGGACGTCTCCATGGCTAGCAAAAACAAAAAAGTTTGGCATATGGGCATGACGTGACTTTATTCTACTTATTATGTAAAGATGTGTTATATTAGTCGCCAACAGTGCATCTGTGTTAGGATAACTGATTTGGAATTTAAACAACCAAAACTTTATTGTATCCACTTGAGGACAAATCGGGGGATCTTTCCTAGTTGTCCCATAAGGTTATGGACATGGAGCTCGTTAGTTATATTATTGAAAGCAATTTGATCCACAAGCTAGAACTGATTCTGATTAATTGTCTAGAAGAATTTAAATCAATAATGAAGTTGTTTTTGTAAAATGTTGCTAAAATGTAATCCAGAATCCATTACGAGTTTTGGTTGACGTAAAAGGTTGTTGGGTTTAAAAGGTCTGCTACTTTGTTCTCTTAAATTTGTTGGGAGTCAGTTCTAACATCCAAGTTTTACCATATTCAGGGATCACTGGCATGCTTAAAGCTTCAGGGTTACATGGTGAGTTTTGGGCAGTCTTCTGGTACACCAAATCCAGTTCCCTTATCAGCACTGGCACCAAAATCTCTGTTCTTGACGAGGCCTTCTCTCATGCAATACACGACAACTCGGGATGAGTTGCTGGAAACTGTGGGGAGGTATTTGCCAACGTTGCATCAGGTGTCTTGCGGGTTCGTGCAAATCATACATGCCCATTAGCACAAGCAGCACAGGCACATGCAGACCTGGAGAGCCGAAAAACATCTGGATCGGTTGTGCTAATACCATGAAGTTGAGCAGTCTGTTTCATCTTTCACAGAATAGATAGAGGTTGTTTGGTCAAGTGTGTTGTCAGCCTTGCTATGTATGCAAAGATCCATGTCCATTATGTTATAACCTACGCCTCAACTCCAACCAAAAACACACAGCAATTTCAAACAACACAGATCACACACACACACAAAACACCAAGAATTACCATGGTTCACTTGCTCAACAAGCTACGTCCACATTGAGCTCGGAAAACCAGCGAGCTCGCTACACTATATTTATCAAGATCACAGTACAGATTACAAACCGAATATCAAAACCCCCTCAAATCTTCTCAAGATCCAGTAACTTCCCTAGAGACACTATTCCCTGTATCCCTAATGACTTGAAACCAATCACTTGATTAACAGTTACAAGATTCAAGACCACAAAAACCCAAACCCTAGCAGACTCAATTTTTGCTCGATAGAGAAGAGAGAGATACAATTGTTATTCTGCTTCGATTCTGCCCTGTTTGCCTGCTTTTATATCATTGACCAGAGGACTCCTTTTCACCGTTGGATCTTCAGCCAGCCAACGCTCAGGATTAATCTCACCATTAGCTTAAAACGACGTCACTCCATTTAATGATGAAACGTCACCGTATAAAGCCATCACACCAACACAGTAACTATACGTGGTCACCAAGAGAAGTCGTGTTTGCAGTATGGTAGCAATAAAAATGTAGAATTCTGGACATTTGACTTGTTTTTCTGCTTGTAATCATGTTGATGATACTTTGCTTTTGGTACTAGTATGGAGTGTGGTTGTGAATATAGAAGATGAAGCAATTGATTTTGACATTCCATATAAACTCATTGCAAATATATTTGTAAATGTGATATTTCATCTTGACAGTAAAGGCTTGAAAATCTGTGTTAAATTTGTAATTTGAAAAAGATTCAATTCAAGTATCCATGTTATAAGTAACGCTTTGCCACTCTCGTTTATTAATTCACACCTCTGTCCTCTCAACTCTGAAGCTTTGCCATCTTAGTGCTTGAAGTATTAAACCCCATGGGCTCACAACTCTGTTTCTTCTGTTACTCGCACGGTCATCCCACGCGCTCTCAAGGATACATCAATCAAATTCACGCTAGGGCCCCATCAAATTGAAATATCAAGCGCGTCTTCTGCCCTGTTTTACCCAAATCAGTTTTGTTTTGATTCTGTTTTACGTGCGGCCGCATGAGCACTTTTAGACATAATTATTATTATACGATTTGGTTTTATTCTCTGCAGTTTTATTCTCAATTTTCATTAATTCATATTATCGTTTTGTAGGAGGCAGCAAAATCATGTTATTTAAACGACGCCGCATAAATGATGCATTTGGGCAGACAAGCACTATATCTATATCTACTAACACAAATCAGTGAAATCACATTTATCTCTCTCGCCCCATACACACACACTTAAGACTAACACTCTTAACAGTAACCTTGAAGAAGAGCCGAAGACGAATATGGCTTCACTGGACGAAAAGGAAGCCGGTCATGAACTCTCATCATCACCTGTTGAGATTCACGTCTCATTGGAACCTTCCAAGAACGGCCACTGCTTGACTGAGCTTAAGAGTAGCGGGATGCTCAACTGGGGTAATAGGAAGAAAGTTCTGTTCCTCAGCAATGATGAGACGGAGAAACTAGACGGTGAAGAAGAAGATGTGAAGTTAGATCGGTCACCTGAGGAGATGAAGGAGAATCGGAAGAGAAAGAGCGCGGCGCACGTATTTATTACTAGTTGTGAGAAGAAGAGGAAGAAGAAGAAGAAAGGGACAAACAACTTAAGTTCTAGATGGTCGAAAGAGAGGTATCAAATAGCTGAAGTGAACATGTTGAAGATAATGAAGGAGAAAGAAGCGGTTTTTGGGAAGCCGATATTGAGGCCGGCGTTGAGAATGGAGGCGAGGAAACTGATCGGTGATACCGGTCTGTTGGATCATTTGTTGAAACACATGGTGGGGAAGGTGGCGCCAGGGGGACAGGAGAGGTTTCGAAGGAGGCATAACGCCGACGGAGCCATGGAGTACTGGTTGGAGAGGGCTGATTTGGTTAATATTCGCAAAGAGGCCGGAGTTGAGGATCCTTATTGGATTCCACCGCCTGGTTGGAGCCTTGGTGATAACCCGATTCAGGATCCTGTTTGTGCCACGGAGTTCAAGCTGCTCAAGGAAGCCATGGCCAAAATGGAAAGGTTACTACGTGCCTGAGGCTTGTAAATTTCCTTATAACAAATTGATGTTGAATAATACTGATATATATCTGTGTTTGTTTGGAAATCTACAGGAACATGCAGGAGCTCTTGTTAAAGAAGCAAGAGGATGATGTGGCTCTTGTAAACACTCCAAGTTCTTGTAATACAAGTCAGAACTTTGATCATGACAACTTCTTGCTTCCATTGAAGGTAAATGATTAACTAGTGAACAGGGGATTTGATCCCCAGAGTGATGTCAATCTAACTCCTTCGGTGTTTGTTGGATTGTTTTAGCAGGAGATGTATACAGATTTGGTGAATAAGAAAGCTAAGATTGAAGGACAAATGATGGAAGTTTCACGTTCTCTTCGTGGAATGGAGGTATCAATTATTAAACCTTCAATTACTGAGTTTCCTTTTATTTCTGATATGTTTATCTGCTTTTGAATCTTTGTCCGATAATTGAAAACATGTAGTGATTATTGGTACAATAATTAATGCTGGACATGATTAACAAACATTCGTTAGTATTAATTAGTTAATATTTTAGTGATGATTGTTTATTTATGGTGTCTCTGTTTAAAGCTTTAATTAATTTCATATATTGCATAAATTAATGATAATCATGCAGGTTCTAATTGAGAAGCTAAAATCATCAGGGGAGGAAACAAACAAATCAAAATCAACCCCAGCACCTTTAATACAAATGGGATCAACAATATCACCTGCGGCTACGACAAAAGCAATAATACTAGCTAGAAGAGAAAGCCACCAAAATAGAAAGACTGAAGAGCGGCTTCAGGATTTGTAGGCCACAGGGGAGTTTGATGTGGCCAGACATGGCAATGTCGGCTAAGGATGTAGTCCCTCTTGAAGATCTCATTATGGTCCCAACACCTCCCCCAGATTCCTCTTCCTCCACCTCACCACCACACCTCCTACTCTCTCCCAACCTTCCCCAAATGGAAAACCATTCAATATCCCTGTTCAAGCCACAGCCTGAGAGGCGCCCCATTGTTGTCACTGCTGTTTCATTTGTATGTATAACTTCACCTGCTATCTCAATTTCATTGTTATCATAGTTTTTTTTGCTATGTATTGAAGATGATATATATTAAAGTTGGCATGCGCTTTTTGTTACAGTTGCAACCTGACAAGCAAGAGGATGCTACGAGGCAAACCGTGGGAGGTGAAAGAAAGGAAATATTAATGGATTGTGAGCAGGAGAGAAGGGGATGCTCCTCAACTTCATCATCATCTTCTTGGCTGGCTCTAGCCACCCCGAATCCACCTTTGCGATAACGGGGTTGAACATTTATTATTATCATCGTCATCATGACCACCCAATCCATATTTATATTTGTTGTTTTAGCAAGGAAAGAATGATAATTTGGCTCTTATATCATATTTAGAGGTAACATGCATGCAAGATGGTTTTTTAGGATTTACTTATATAAGACAAGACATAAAGAACAAATTAAAATTATTTGAAGAATGTGAATGTACCAATCATGCTAGGGACACCGAAAAACCTGTACCGAAATTTTGTACCGGCCTACGTGTAATGCATTTCTAATTTTTTTAACAATTTTTTTCTAGTGAACGGCCGTCCATCAAATTTGGACGACCGTTCACTCACATGGACGCCCGTCCATATTATATGGACAGGCGTCCATATACAAGGGACGGGCGTCCCCATGTAAAGGACGTCCGTCCCTCATTAAAATACAATAAAAAAAAATTTATAAACAATAGGACGGCCGTCCATAAATTTTGGACGGTCGTCGTCCTGATGGACGACCGTCCATACTCTTCCTTTTTTTTTTTTTTTTTTTTTTTCTTTCTAAAAACTAGCTTTCTCCTAAGTGGCTCTGAAATCAGTCAGGCCGCCTTTAATCCCTACGGAGGATGAACAGAAGAAGCAAGAAGAAGGCTTCTTTGGATCCTTTGCAAAGCTTTTTGTCAACACTGAATCATCTGCTATGAAAATTTTGAGAGGAATATTTCCAGGTTTTAGGAAGAAGCCACTGAACCATCAATATCAAAGCCTATACCAGCACCCTCAAAAGCAAAAGTACTCAACTGCTTGGCCTGTACAAGACAGCTTTGTGATCCCAGATGAGGACGAGCCACCTTCCATTGATACAAGAACTCCCACTCCACGAAAAACTTATGCTTTCATGTCCAAGGATGCAGAAAAGATCCAGCAACTGCGGCAAAGTCGAGCTAATAATAATAATAATAATAATAATAATAATAATAATAATAATAATGTATTCTTATCTTAATCAGTATTGAGTATGGAGATGTACAGGTCCATATGCATATCTACATGCATTTACTTAAAAGACTGATTAGTTAAAAGTCGTGGGCAGTTATTAGATGATCAGAGAAGAAGAAGAAGAAGAAGAAGAGAAGCGAAAGTGTAGAAGTTGAGCAGTATTTTTTTTTTTTTTTTTTTAAGTATGGACGCCCGTCCAAACATAATGGACGGGCGTCCATTCATAATGGACGTGAATGGACGGGCGTCCATTATGAATGGACGCCCGTCCAAACATAAGGGACGGGCGTCCATTATAAATATTTGGGACGCCCGTCCCTTATGTTTGGACGGGCGTCCCAAATATTTATAAAAAATTTTATTTATGGACGGACGTCCTTTACATGGGGACGCCCGTCCCTTGTATATGGACGGACGTCCATGTGAGTGAACGGTCGTCCAAATTTGATGGACGGCCGTTCACTAGAAAAAAATTGTTAAAAAAATTAGAAATGCATTACACGTAGGCCGGTACAAAATTTCGGTGCAGGTTTTTCGGTGTCCCTAGCATTATTGGTGAATGTACTTCCCTTTTCGGAAGATACTTTTTCAAGTATAGATTACAACAAACCTTTGTAACCCAAAAATAAATAAATCAATCAATCAATCAATCAAATTCTATAGCTTAGAATATACATTTGAACTATTGCTGGGAATGTCTTCAAGGTTGATGTGACGAGAGAGTACAGTCGTGAGCTTCTTTATATCATCTGTAGTATGCACTGCAGTTAGAGTTACCCTTCATCTGAAAAAGTAAAAGAAAAGTAAGCGATCAGCAAAACATTTCCATACAAAAATATTACAATATAACTGACAGGGTTGATGTCTTCGCTTAAACATTTCGATACAAAAATATTACAATATAACTGACAATGTTGATAGACATCAACCCAAGTTGGTCCAATCTTCAACAACATATAGAACATAATATGAATCTCCGTGGATTTCTTTAATAAGTTCTCAGTTTTCTATACATACTTCCAATATCTATTTTTGGTATGTTAGTTGATGGATGAACAACTTCGCTAAACTGAATACTGAACATGATCTAACTCTAACACGACCCATAGCCAGGAAGTTCAGTGTGTGAGACAGGAGACTAAAGGAATCTGCGGTATATTGTTAACCCAACACATGTTTTGCATATGTTTGAAAGCTACATGTACCATTATAAGTTACAATGAAGTATTTCCACCATGCATTGTTCACGAGGATCTAAATGGACAATTTTGGTTCAGCCACTGGCAAACCAAAATTGTTCTACAT